CTTATTTAGACTTCCGGTGTTTGGAAAAATCAGCTTTTCGTGGAATCCCCAAAACTAATCATTGAAATGAATCTTTATTGTTATTGAAGTATCGAAAAATTGAATTTGCTGCAAAAAGTTGAAATACTAATAATACGGGTCAATAAGATATTGAAAACGTGTTTTTGAGTTGATTTATACCATTTTCAATAGCGTGGTGCTCGGCTGTCAAGTTCCCGATTACTTCTAAAATTTCGTAAAATGTGAAACCTAGATTGAAAACTTTGCATTCACAGAATTTTTTGAAAGTTTCTAGTTTTTCAGTTTTTTGTCGATTTCTCACTTTCATCTGTTATAGCCCCATTATAGAACCCTACCATATACATTCACTTCGAGCTCAATTATCTCTGATACTTTGAAAGGTATCAAAATATTATAACTTGAAAATTATTTATCATTGTATCACCAATAGTTTACCAGTTGACACAGTTATGATATCTGTCATGGGGACCGAGATAATTGAGCTCACAATTGACAAAATACAAAATATGAAAGTTCTTAATTTCGAAAATTCGAAAGCTGGCCTAATATCATCCATGTGCCTTTGAAATTTCTACATTGTTTGAAAATAATCGTCATATTGCGGTTTTCGGAATAAAAATAGAGGAAAATTGATCATCTAACAAGATGAAAAATTGTCAAAAATCAAGAAAAATAGGCTAAAAATAATTATTTATAAAACTAAGACTAGAAAAATTAAAGGCGCATGGAACTTAACGATAAAAGACAACTACAAGCTTAATTATCCCGATTCTCGTGAAAAGGTATCAGAAATTTGTCAACTGATAAATTATTTATCATAACATCAACAATATTTTATCAGTTGACAAACTTTTGATATCTCTCATGGAAACCGAGATAATTGAGCTCGAAATTAGCAAATTGGCGAGCTTTCATTAGAGCAAATACGATATTTTATGTCTTTTTTTTTCAATTTCAATTCTCTCTCAATTGTCCAGTAACACTCAAAACTTTGGTATAAGATTTTAGATTTTTGTCACAAAAAAGTAAAAAAATGTGCAGGTGAAACAAGAAATTAAATTATGTGCCTTTCTCTCCTTTTCTGAAAAATATTCAATTAGTCCAGAGTTGTTTTTTGTTCACCAAGCGGCTACAAAAATACGAAAAATGAAAAGGACAATATATTTTTGTATGATAGACCCCTTAAAGACACCTATCATCACAATAGACGGAAGTTAGTTGTAAAAGGGTCAAACCAGTTGGGAGTTGGCAGTATGGTTCTTGTTTTTTCTATCAAAGTTCGAACAATAAATTGGGATCATAAATATGTCAAATAAGTCTGAAAATAAAGTCATTGCCTACATTTTACATCCTATGGGTAGGCATTCCAACCAAAACAAAAAATATGTTACCTTGTTTTCATGAAAACCCGTTGGATTAGCTAAGAGATATCTTTAGGGGAGCGATTCGCCAATAGATAAAAGAGGTATTTTTCATTTTTATCGGCATAGTAGAGATCCGATCAAAAATTACTCGTAATGAAACATTTTTTCCTTTAGAAAGATAATGGAAAATGAGGTCAAATAGGAATGAGGATTTTTTTCAACGTGTGTTCTGTCGAGCGTGACCAAAGAACTTGATATGTGGAGGAAAAGAAGATATATTGAAAAATATGAAACGACCCTCATTGCATCTTCTAGAATTTTCCATAATGTCACTAAAATTGATTGGCTTTTTTAGTCAAAAGCGGCAAAAAATATTGAGGAAAGGGAGAATTTTTCTGGAACAAGATGATAGGGAATGAGTCACCAGACGTTTTATGAAACATTTGGCCAAAGGATCGGAACAGCGAAAAAGAAAAAAGTATATGAGAAAGTGTGGTTGTGTTGTTCGAGAGACAAGTTGATTCATAGAGGATTGTCATGATATTTTTTCAATGACGACAGTCGGAGGGGGGAATAAACAGACGAAAAAAAATAGAAGAAAAAAATGGGGAGCGAGGAGAGTTTACAGATTGAGAGAGTTAGATGAGAGGAGGGAAAATAAATATTGTTGTTGATCAGTGACTAAGATAAATATTATGATTCTTCAAAGGAGTAAGAGAAACAATGTGACCTAGATTATAACTGGCAGTCTTTCTCAACAAAAAAAAATACTAAATAGAAAAAGGTCAATTAGACATACAAAAATGTATTTTTCCTTTGATTTTTGAAAATTTTAACAATTCTCAGTTTTTCCGATCTCTTTGAAATTTCTGGTTTGTATAAAACCGCCTGACATTGAAAACTTTGCATTCACAGAATTTTTAAAAACTCCTATTTTTCAGCGAAAACGTGTTTTGGAGTTGATTTTGAACATTTTCATGGGACTGGAGCTCGGCTGTAAAGTTTCAGATCCCTTTGAAAATGTTGGAGGGTCTGAAACATGCCAAAATTACATACTTGCGACGGGCCTTTAAGAAGTTGGTCAAAGGACCGGCCCGGGAGGCCCGGAAGGCAAGGACAGTCGGCGCCAGCTTCAAAATTAAAAAAAAAAAACTTTTTTTTTCGAAAAAATTTGTGTATAGTATCTAATTTTAAGCTGAATTGTAAATATTAAGTTATGCTTAAACAAAACTAAAAAAAAATAACGTTTTTGCTGACCTTTTTCCGAAGTTGGGATCGAACTGAAAATTGCATTTTTTTTTTGAAGCAAAATAACAAAAAAAATTTTCTGATAAATTTCGACAAAACAAATTCCTATCCGGGCCCTTTTTTTGTTGAAAATGCCTAGTTTTTCAGCTATTTGCCAACACCTGCTTTTTCAACCGTTTTCAGTTCAAAAACGGGCCAAAAAGGAGTGTTTTTCAAATATCGGCCAATAGCTCAAAAATAAGAATTTTTAAAAAGTCCTCTAACTGCGAAGTTTTTGAAATAGGCCTGCTGAACACCGTCCAAATATTCATTGAAAAATTGATGAGCTCCAACTTACTAGAAGGGTTCTAGATTCCTGAAAATGGTCAAAATATGCGAAAATCGGCTGAAAAATAGATTTTTGTTTATTTCAATTACCGTATTTCCTCTAATAGAAGCCCATGGGCTTCTATTTTTCAACCACTTCCTTAAGGTGGGCTTCTAATAGAGAAGGGGTACAATTAGAGGGTGGGCTTTTATTTTTCAATGATTTCTTTAAAAAAAATTGTTTATTCAAAAAATCAAAAATTCAGAAATTCGACAATTCGGAAGTTAAGAATTCTAAAATTCGTTGTTTTAAAAAATTTGAAATATTCTTTCTGTAATTCTAAATTTCAAAATTTCAAATTTATGAAATTCTGAGATTCTAGGATCTCAAAATTCAAAATTCCGGAATTCGCTCCGGAAAAAAGTTCTAAAATTCTAAAAATCTGAAATTCCGAAATTCCGCTTTTTAAAAATTAGAAAATTTAGAAATAGAGACACTGTCGAGTTTTAGAATCGTAGTTCTAAAAATTTTGTAATTTTGAATTACCCTATTTTTTTCTAATATAAGCCTGTGGGCTTTTATTAGAGGTGAGCTTCAATTAGAGGGTGGGCTTCTATTTTTCGAAGCATTTCGCGGGATGGGCTTCTATTCATGGTGGGCTTCAAATAGAAGTGGGCTTCTATCAGAGGAAATACGGTAATCGTTTCTTCTTTCAAGTTTCACTAAATAGAAAACGTTCTATGCGTCAGGTAGAAATTCAGAAAAGAAGTTGTGACTAACTCGTCTCTCGAGAAGTTGAAAAAGAAGGAAAGAAAAACTTTAGTTGACATGTTTTGGTGTCTAAAACTTGAACAGCGTCTAAGTTTCGCTAGCGATCTCTTTTTCTTCCTATTTTTTCCCCATCCTGTCAAATTCAGGAAAAAAAACGAAGAATAGCATGTCGGAAAGAAGACAACTTTTCTCCTCCTCCTCTGCTTTTTCCTCTTCTTTTTCAATTTTTTATTGAAACGGAACAAACGAACGAGGATGAGTAGAGGGAGAAGCTGCATTATTGTTGTTCTCTTGAATAACGAAAAATATTGAATAGTCCGGATTTTTTCTTATTCTTTAGTTTCTTCCCAAGACAATCGAGCATATGAAATTGAGTTAGAGAAGGATGTAGTCGACTGGAAAATCCAGAAAATCCAAGAAATTCCCCGTTTTTAGATTTTCTAGTTCTGGATAAATTCTAACTTTCAAAGAATTTATTTCTCTTTTCTGCATCATTCAACATCCTCGATTTCTAATAGGATATCAATTTTACATCACATCCGGTTTAGAGAAATATGTGTTTTCATGCCTTTCGGAGAATTCCGCGTTAAAAAAAATGAAAAAAAAATGAAAATGCAAGGAGCGGCGGCGGCGGCTCTTTTTTAACGAACTTGTATTGGTGCGAGAATGATGTGCAAACATCTTAGAAGGAACAAGCACAGTTGAAATGTTCAGTCTCAATTTAGTACGATTTTATTTTTACTAACTACTGAAATTTATTTTTTAGATTTAGCCAATCAAAAAATCAATCGACAAAAAAGTGTTTTGAAAAATAATGGGAGATAAAAAAGAAAAGAAAAACAAGAGGTATAATAATAACATAGTGAAGATCAGAGATCAGGGACCAATGCCATGAATATCAATGAGTCATAAAATTAATATAGAAAATTATTATTATTATTATCAATAAATATCACAAATTCGGGCGGGAAAAGAAGAGAGATATAAACGGAGAGAGCTTTGGAAAGGGTTATCATAGGAATTTGAGGAACATAGAGGTCAATCAGAATAAAGTGTACACAGAATACATACCGTTCCACTTTGAACCATTTTATCTCGATTTCTGTGAAAGACATCTAAATTTTGTCAACTGATAAAATGTTGGTGATATTATGATAAATAATTTGTCAGTTGACAACCTTCTTGTATCTTTTAAAAGAAACAAGATATATAAGCTCAAAGCCGACGGTCCGGAAAGCATTCTATTAAAGAATTTTTGTTTAATGATTTCATCTATGGTAAATCAAGCATCAATATTCGGGAAATTTCCATCCGCATCCAGTATGCGTGCCTCTTCCTGTGGACGCATCCATGCAATCGCTGGAGCACTCATTTGACTTGCTCGTCTTTGTTTTTTTGCCGACAATGGTTTGGAGCAATAGAAAGAGCCCTGAAGCAAGGAGTGGTATTTAGCTAGGGCCTGATGTCATGGGTCAAACATTTTTTTGCGGAATGCTAGTTGTTATGGTTAGTTTGGTTTGTTTTCCAAAGAAATATAAATTCTTTGATGCAGATTAGTGTTATTAGTTTTATGAAAATCTAAATTGAGAAAAATTTGAAAAAAAAGCTTCAAACCAATGCAATAAGGTATGTTTTAGCATCCAAATGCAAATACATACAGCACGGGTCAATGAGATATACAAAACGTGTTTTTCATTTTATTTATTTTGACTTTTTTTGAAGCTCATATCTCGTCTACCAAAATTCCGATCGGTTTGAAAACTTTAAAGGGTGTAAAATAGTACTAGATTAACAACATTGAATTAAAAGAATTTCTCGGAAATTTCTAGATTTTCAGCTATGTGCTGATTTTTGAGAGACATCACTTTCTCGCTCTTTTTGTATTGAAAATGTGACAACAGCAGTTGTCTTTCAGAAATCGGAAAAAAAAATATGAAAAACTAGTTTTTCAAAAAATCATATAAACGCAACGTCTGTAATCTAGGTTTGTTTTGCACCTTCCAGAAATTTCGAAATGATCAGACACGCGGCAGTCAACCTCCAGACTTCTGAAAATGGTCAAAACGGCAGAAAATCAACTGAAAAGCATTATTTTGTATATCTTATTGATCGGTACTGTGAATAGTGTTAGTTTTTAAATTATTTTTTCAACTCAATTCGAAAACTCAGCATAAAGCTAACAGGTGAGATTATAGCCAAGTTCATATTCAAACAAGCAAACCATAATCATCCAAAGCATCTGGTAATAGGGGATTAGGTAGGTTATTACAGCAAACATGCAAAATAACCTACACATACATCCATCTGATCCAAGTCAATACTTAGATCAATCAATGGAGGATCGTGCTCCAGAAAATCAGTGAAATGCCAGGGGAAGATGGGTAGAGTTGGTGGCATTTTGCCGTCCAGCGCGTCGATCACAGTGCGGTCCCAATTGATTTGGTCTCAAATTTTCACTTTACTTTGATCGATTATGGTAAAACTCACTTATGAGATTTTCCGACATTCCCACTCTTCTACAAACCGTACTAATGAGCCCACCCATAGAGAGTCGTCGTCCGCCAAGCCAAACAGTAATCTAAAAAACATCTTCTTTGGAAATTCAAAGACTTCGGCAACAAACCCCCTTCACATTTGTAACCTGTCTACCAGCATAATGCACCAATCGGAAAACGTCAGCAAGCTGTTCGACCAGAGCTGTGGTTAACCATAATCCAATGGTGATGTATATCAAGGTAGGTAGAAGGAAGTCCATTCGTCGAGGTACAATATCTCCGAGTCCAATAGTTGTGAGACTCCTAAAAATGTTTTTTTTTTGAGATTTTGGCGAAATGTTACCGTATTCCCTCTTATAGAAGCCCACTAAAACTGTCGAAAAAATAGGCTTCATAATCTCGATTCCTGTTAAAAATACCCAATTTTTATCAACTGATAAAATATTGGTGATTGTATATGAAATAATTTTATCAGTTGATAAAATTTTGATGTCTTTCACAGGAATCGAGATTATTGGGCTTAAGTGTGACGGTTTGGTTGGGCTTCTTTGAGAGGAAATACGGTAAGGGATATCTTACATGTAAGAAAAATATACACTGTCGAAATAGGTCAATTGGTTTTCCCATAATGGTATCACAGCAGAGCCAATGGCGATGAATACTACAAACAGACCAGCAACCAGCATGACCTCGAAATTTTTTAATTTTCGGTTTTTCATAAATATCAATCTCAATATATGTATATCAAAGATATCAATATTGTGTCAGATGATAAATTTCCGGTGATACTATGCCAGACATTTTTTCAGTCAACAGATTATTGATATCTTTCATAGCAACCGAGATAATCGAGCCCACGATGCACGTAAAGTGTTGGCGTTCATCAGAACAAATAAGTTTTTTGTTTTCCTGAACCTCCTTCCTCAATTCCACTGCATTTCAATACTATTTGCGCATCAAAACTCAAAATCTCAATTTTCAATGACCGATCCGGTGATCTTTTCCTTTCTTCCCAAAACAAAAGAATCTTCCTCTACATTCCATCTCATGGAATTTGTAACCCGACACTCATTCTGATCCAATGACACCCTCTCAGTATTTCTCATCAGTAACAATAAACAAAAAATTTTTTTTGTTGAGAACAATATCTAGGGACCCAGCTTACCTCCGCAATTTCTCTTAGAAGATGTTCGTCGCTCTGTTTTTTCAGCTCTCGCTTTGAAACCTTCTGGACCAGTGCCATGATAGCTGAAACTCATTTTTTGAGCCAAACTGGTTGTTCAGGATTACCTACCAGTTTTTGAAAATCTTCCTAAGTCAGCGATTGTAATCAGAAACAATGGAATACCAAATGCCCCATAAATCATCAGGAACACTTTGCATTGTTGAGTATGTGGAGTCACATTACCGTATCCTAAAATAACTTTTTTGAAAGTTTTAGTTCTAAAAAAAGGAATTATACCTATCGTTGTCAATATTGTGAATGAGAACAACACACTGGATGGAAAGGTCCATCTCTTTGGAACAACTTGAGAAGGCTCGTTGAAGATTAGATAATTGTCTAGTGAAATGTGAAGATTTGAGATGTTTCGGAGGAACATTCGGAGGTGTTCATTGATTTCGGCCACCTTAAAAATCTATCACGAATTTTAAAAGGTTCAATCAAACTCACATTCTCTGTAGTGGCTAGTTTCGCTATCACATCTTTTTTCAAATTCATTGCATATTCTCTAAAAATAATAGAGTTTGAGATCCAAAAATTTCGGAACCAACCGTTGCTTATCATGAAGTTCCGTTTCATTTTCGCCTTCCAACTGATGGAACACCCAAGCACCGGCAAACACATAGCACACGACAAAACAGTAGAGTGCCAAGTGACCAAGTGCGATTCGAAGCACATTTCGAAATTTCATCCAGGCGCACTTTGCTGAAAGATAACTGGTATGGAAATTGGTTGAAAAAGATCTGATGTGTTTTTTTCGAAAAAAAGCTCATAATTGAATTTAGAGCCGTTTTTATACTTGAACTTTGAGCTTAATTACTGTACATGAACACTATAAATGCCACCAAAATTGTCAATTTTGTGCCTTTGCATCTCATTTCTTGTGAAAGACATCAACTATCGGTCAACTAGTAAAATGTTTATTATAGCATAACAAATATTTTTCCGTGAACTATTTTCAATATCTTTCATAGAAATCAAGATAAATTAGCTCAAAATTAAAAGTGATCGAGGGGTTATTATATTAGCGTGCTCACGGTATATTGGTTTCTATGATAAATTTTATAATATGCATTTTTTAATATTATCACCAAATTCATTAGTTTCTAAAATTTTGGTTTTGCAGAAATCAAGGCAATCGAGCCCAAACTACGAGTCTAGTCGGCTCTTTTCAACTTTGTGTCGATTGATCTCGGTTCATGACAAAGATATACAAAAGTTGTCAACTATATAGATTTTTGTCATGATATCACAAGCATTTTATCAGTTGACACATTTTTGATATCTTTTACAAGAACCTAGATAATTGAGCTCTAAATGGACAAAGCGGTGAACTATCACGTGTTTTACGGTAACTGCTTTTATTGATATTTTTTGAAGCTTGAAAAAAACTACATGAGAGTTTTTAAGAAACCAAATCGAATTTCAGAGTTTTATCAAAATTAGTTAATTGCTACATACTCAATCGGCTCAACTATGAAATTTTAGAAAATCCCAAACCCATAGATTCCTTCTTCTTGCCCATATTTTTGAAAACTTGAATATATAGACTAAAGCCGCTGGTCACAAAAAGTCGAAATGGCAAGGTGGACGTCTAGACCTCTCCACTCCAAACAAGAAAAAAATTATGAGCCCCTCTCAAAACGATAATGGGTGGAGATGGATATAAAAGAATACAAGGGAGTGGGATTTGATGAGGGCTGGGGGGATCGAAATAGCAATTTATGAGTGGTTTCTATAGAAAATTGACCATTTTTAATACTCCTCTCTATGTCTCTCTTTTTGTTTTGCCTCGGTGCCTCATTTTGGCTCCGAATCTCGAAAATTTCGTTTTCCTTTTTTTCTTCAAATTTTTCAGGCAACGCTTGTTATTTTGACAATACGACAATGAGAAGAGGGAGCAAAGTTGGGGAACGACGTTTTTGAAAAAAAAAATACTGAAAGTACTAGAAGGTTTTTTTTGGAAAATGTTGCCCATTTTTAACAGTCACGTGGTACAAAAATGGAGTTTATGTAGTGCTCCAAATAAAACGAAAGAGGAATGGAAAAGGAAACTAGCTTTTTACGTCAGGCTCCCAAGAAAATTGAATCGAACTTTTTCGGAACTCGGAAATAAGTATGAAATATCGTTTGCGGAAAAAAACGCGTCTACTGGGAGAGAAAGAGAGCCCAAAACTTACAATTGGAAGTGTTACTGGTTCTAGTAATAGTTGAATTAGCCACAGATGTTTTGTGGGGAATAGATCGTCTCAACCCGAACATCTTGAACCAAGTACAAAAACTGACAACTTTTGTTGCTTCCGTTTTTGTCAGTCCGAAACAAAAAGTGGGTGGAAAAATGAGGAAGACGGAGGAGGAGGAAGAGTGGGTTCTTCTTCCTAAAACTGCCGGCAAAAAGTCAAAGTTAACATAATCTCATATGAAAAATGGCGCGACACGTTTTCTTTCGTCCTTTCGGTGGTTTTAAACACTCTTCAAGGCAAAGAACCTACTTTGAAGGGCAATTCTAAACAGAAAGAAAAAACTTTTTCGCGAGGTTTAACGCCCGCGAAGCTTTCTCATTAATTTTTTTGTTTCTAGAGTGCTTTGTTCTCTTGGAGGAGAAGTTCAAAAGAGGGCAACCCCGAGAACGCTACTTTTAGGGGGATTTTTTTGGAAAGCATAGTGACGTTTTTTTAGTCTGGTGCTCTATTGGACTATATAATTCGATTTGAGAGTTTTTGTTTTCTTTTTTGCTGTCTAGAAGAGAAAAAACAAAAGGACGAGGCAAAGAAAACCCTTCAACCACTTCCTCCGACTTTTTCATTATAATTATGATCAGGAAAATTCGGAACGGAATTCGGGATACGGTGGATTCCGAAAATTCCATAATCTTTATCGTCGGAATATTGTTATATTCCGATGTTCCAAAACGTTTTAAGCCGGAATATTCCAAAAATCTGAATTTTCTAAAACTGGGATATTCCGAATGTCCAAAATCTTCGAAATCGAAAAATTCCGGTATTCCGTAATTCCGAAATTCCAAAATTCCAAAATTTTGAATTTTCCAAAACTGGCATATTCCAAACTTCATAAATCTTTGAAATCGGAATAGTCCTATATTTCCGAAATTGCAAAATTTTTAAAACCGGAATATTCCGACATTCCAGAACTTCGAAATACAGAACTTTTCGACATTCCGAAAATCCGAATTTTCCAAAACCGGTATGTTCCGAAATTCTGAATTTTTCAAAACTGGCATATTCCAATGTTTGGAAATTTTTGAAATCGGACTATTCCGATATCCCGAAATTCCGAATTTTCCAAAACCGGAATATTTCAAAATTATAAAAGTCCGAAATCTTTTAAATTGGAACATTCCGATATTTCGAAATTCCGAATTTTCCAAAAGCGGAATATTCCGTGATTCGGAAATTCCAAAATTCCACATTTTTCGAATCGGAATACTCCAATATTACTAAATTCCGGAATATCCTAACTCCGAATTTTTGTCATTCCGGAAAATACCGCGAATAGGCCATTGCGAACACCTCTGCCTTTAACCACATCCTCTGGCTTTTTCATTATAATTTTTTGGAAAAAAATTTCTATGACAGAACAAAGCATGAAAAACAATAGACAATTTTGTCCATTGATTTCCTTTCCACTTCCTTCTGAAGAAAAATGTTGCAGCAGTTTTTTTTTTCGAATTCAAAACACGGATTGGAAAGAGGTAAGCAAGTTCAGCCAACCTAGGAAAATTGGTGTATTATGTATTATCCTCTAAGAACTTTATTTCCGGAATCATGTGTGCCCCTTCTCGAAAAAATTCGGTTTTCCGGAGTTTTCGAGAAAGAAAAATGAGTTGGCTGTATGTGTATGTGTCCCCTACCACGATGCTTCTTGCAATGGACGACGGTAGAAGTCGGTTTTCCGCTCGGTTGCTCTAAGGAGGCTCGCGGAGCTCTCGGAGCTTTCGGAACCTCCTGAGCACCCAAATCCAGTTGAGTATAGTAGTTAGGTCGAAATCGCATAGAGACGGTGGGATAGAAGGACGAAAAAAGTGGATAGAAATGAAAAGAAACAAAAAATTTTGAAACGTTCACACGATATAATGTAAATTGATGCCACTTTTCCTCTCCCTGCCCCTCACCACTCAAGAATATTCTCTTGCACATCTCCATGTGTCAAAAATGTAGAAACTGCTGGAAAAAGGAGGTGTCATTGAGAGCAGTTTCTTTGGGAGCATCGAAATACTGGTTTCGTTGGTTGAATGAAAAGAATCGGTTTGCAAAACTGTTGTTTGCATGACCTTTTGGAGCTATTCAGTCGTTTTTTTAAAGAAAAAACCAGGAATGAGACTTTTGCTCTTGAGGGGCTTTGTTTTAATAGCACCGTTGAGTGGGACGTTCTTGCGGTTAGATTCCTAAAACGAGGCTTTGAAGGTGAACCTGGTTCCCAGTCAATTCTAGATGTATACTTAAAATTTACCTCACACAATTACTAAATCGCATTTTGCCAAAATTTGGGGGAAGCTATTCAATTGAAAAACAGAACGAAATATAAATTTCTATTACTCCTAAAGTAAAAAACTATTTCTATACTCGAAGCTCAATTTCCATAAAGCCTTGAACGGTTAATTTTGAGCCCATACAGTATCAATAAAATATACAAAATCATATTTTTAGTTGATTTTGGACATTTTTCCATTTTCAGGAGTCTGTAGCTTGGCTGTGAAGCTCCCAAACACTCTCAAACTTTTGGAGGGTGTCAAACATACCTAGATTAAAAACCTTGCATCTACAGAATTTTTAGAAAATTTCTAGTTTTCAGCTATTTGAGGATTTCTTGAAGACACCCCCTTCTCTGCCTGTTTTTGTATTGAAAACGTGAAAAATAGGTGTCTGTCAGAAATCGACATAAAGCTGAAAAACTAGGAATTTTTAAATAATTCTGTGGATGCAGTTCTTAATGTAAAATTTTCAAAAATATTGGAAACATGACAGCCGAGCTCCAGACTCCCGAAAATGGTCAAAATGGCAGAAAATCGACCGAAAAAATATGTTTTTGCATAACTCATAGATCGGTACTGTCTTTAAAAAAATTAGAAAACATTGCAGTCAATTCTAGATGCCTAATTTCAATTTACATCACAAAATTCCCAAAATTGCTTATATAATTTTTAAAAATTTTACGATTGAGTAAATCATGAGTTCTTGATCAACTTCACAAAACAATTCAACAACCTGGTTCCAAAATAAAAAAAAAACGAAAAAAGAGTTTCTCAACAAGGAAGAGTGAGTTTTTTGTCTGCTCAACCACCACGGCCATCATCATCATCATCATCACCCCCGGCCATCACCACCAATAAAACGCATTTTTGTGTAATTAGGGAAAGCTGGTCCCTTTAACTTGAAAGAAAAAAGAAACTCGACTCAACTCGCACTCTCTACGATCAGAACAGAACAAAGAGAATAAAGAAGAGAATCGAAACTTCAAAATTTGATTATCAATCTATGACAAGTTAAGAGGGGAAAAAACGTTGAAAAAACTTCATGAAAAATAAGTGAAAAATGTGAAAGGCACACGATTTTAACGACGCAAAGTGAGTGAGACAAACTCACAAACTGAGATTTTTGAGACTTTAGGGGCTCTTAAAAATTTGCGAAGCGTGATAATTGGAGCATGTTATGCTCTCAAAACTCCTGGAAGTTGGCCTCGCGCGGCAAGTTGAAAAAGTCTCTTCTATAAAATATAAAATTTTTACTGGCTAGTGAGATTGAAATAAAAAAAGGAACACCAAAAATTGCATTGTTCTCTGGTTCTGAAGAGATCAGTAAGAAAAAAGAACAAAAAGTTCATCGCGTGTCCAGAATACGGAAGGCTACCCAAAAATAAAAATAAAAGAAGTGTAGTCTAAGCTGACAGCGACCAAAAAAAATGCTCGTTTCATCTGAAAAAAAACACAACGTGAAAAAAGTTTCTGGGTTCGGTTAGCACTTCCCGAAAAACCCATAAAACCACAGAGAAAAGCGGTCATTTGAAACCGGGGCCCGCATAAAAACTCATTTCGCACCACAAAACCCCAACACTAGATCCGAAATTCACACCCATAGTGCGTTGTTTTATAATCACTATCGGATAGGGTAATTGGGTTTATGTTGATCAAAAAACTGAATTCAATCAAAAGTTTGTTATCGAGACAAAATAGAAATTAAGAATGTTATTACAGCCATAACGTAGCACCAATTATACAAAAAAAAGTTGATTTATACAAACGAGAGGTAAGAGACAGTAAAAAAACCAGGACAACTCGTTTTTGAATTTTTAAATTACTAGATAACTGTTGAAACGATATGATTTAAGTCTGTATTAGTCGATCGATATTTGATGTTGCTGGCAATAAGTTTGCTAAAGTAAAACACGTCTCCAGCCAGTTATAGAATCTGTTCCGCTTTCAAACTTCTAGGAAAGTTGAACATGAGAAAAGGAACGCCTCATTCTACTGGTAGGACTTTACTGGTCAGGACTAAAGTTTTTGGAAGG